GTTCCTAAGCAACCTCTCTAAAATAATGTTCAGTTTAGCTCTAACTCTTTATTTAGTTCTCTCCAAAATCATTCCCGATTCCATTCCCATTATGTCACTTTCCTTATTACCCTGGATTAAGTCTTGCGTAAATTGCAATGTGAAGCTGCAGGGCCAATATAGGTGAACAAATATCTCGCTTTTCAAAGTAAGCACAATAAAAGTTTCATTTTACGGTGATTTCATAGTTCACTGAAGCCCTTTCTGCTTTGCATCATTAAAAACAGTTCCAACTACATGTAAAACTTCTGACGGTGAGTGTTTACCAGTTTATGGACGCTAAAACGCAGTCTTTGAACAAGGTCCTTAAAAAAACAGTTTGAATTTCTGTTGCCTGGTATTAGGAGCTTTGATGTCATTTAAATTGTTGGTACGCAGTTTAAAAATAATAAAATGGAGGCGAGCAAATCATGAAGAACACTATAAAGAACACAACCAAAGAAGACACTTGAATGAGGAGGGTTAAATATCTCCTTCAGTATCATATCTTGTTACCACAAGATGAAGGCAGAGTTCCTCCTTATTATCAGCAATATAACAAGCCTGTTGTATTGCAAATGTAAGCAGCTACATGTAATAAGTTCTACTTTGTTTTGTTTTGCAGTATTACTACCGGAATTATTTTACTGTTACACATGATATGATTGGCCATCTTCTTGTTAGTATTGGCCAATCATATCACTCCAATCACAGAAAGATTAAATTACAAGTAGATCACAGCTTACTTGCTGGGGAAGTAGAAGGAACAACAATTGAATGAAACTCTGCCAATGCCAAATAATTAGTATTGCCATCACGTTATCCCACTGACTACCGATAGCAATAACATAGAGGTTAAACTTTTGTGGCTACTGACATTGTGTCATTATGTTACGGTTTATACTTGCACACTATAGAACAAGAATGTAGGTACAGCTATTGTTTACCAAACGAACAAATGGAAATTGTTATGAAGACTACCCCCCCCCCCCACCTGGCAGCTTCAAAATGTAAACAAAACTCCTGAGGATGCCATTTATAGCAACTTGCAATGCAATTACAGACCACAAATGACGCATAAACTTTGACATTATACGAAGCATTCATACACTGGCGAGCAGTTGCTTTATAGAAAATTCTTTATCCAGGGGTCTGAACATTAGCGTTCTGGATACATGCCCAGAAAAGATGAGAATTCGATATCTGTTGATTCCCAGGGCACAGATTCCAACAAATTAAGGCCAAGGCTACAATGTACCCACAATTGCAAGAGTGGATCACCAGTCATTGGCTATTGATATCATAAATAATGCAACACAATAAACGTGAATAAGTTTATCACCAACCAGAATCTGAACAGAGTCAGCTGACATGTAAACACGTAGGCAAACTCGGTCAGATAGGCACCCTTAAAAGGAGGGTGTTCTGGGTCACCTGACCATGAAAATTAAACTAATCAATCAATGACTGACAGTTTTGAAAATAAAATGCCAAATTAAATACATGTACCAGGAATTGAAAAAAAATTGGGCCAAAAATAGTGTTAAATCGTGACTGTCACTGATTGGACCAATGGATTTCATAAACTCAAACAGGGCAGGTGATGTATTGATCGTTCCAGCACTCAGTTTCTTTTGTTCAGGTTTGATAACAAAATAAGAAAACTGTCTCCGTGGAAGAAGCAATTCACCTTTACTTTATTATACCTAATGTTTTAATATACAAAGGTACAGTGAAAAGATCTCACTAAAGAACTATCATTAAAATATTAATAAACCGTTCAATTATAAGGTTGGGGTTCCACGGAAATGACGATATACAGGTACCCCGTAGTATAATACAAGGTCGGTCCATTGACGATCTTATCTTTACACAAAGAGTTTTTTTTACCGGACGAAATTAATTATTTTTGTTTATGGCGGATATATATACATTTTCTTTTTTAAAAAAGGACGGCGTTTTATGTTTTTGGCAGATGCCGCGGTGTAAGAGTAAATTTATTGTCGAATTATGATAAATATCATTCGTCGTCACTATATAAAAAATATTAATAATACTTACGAAGCTGATGATTGCAGCTAAAAGGAGAATTTTGACGAGTAGATCGTCGAACTGTTCCAACACTAGAGCCCATAGTGATTTCCCTGGAAAAGGAAACACCACAAACGTATTATTATAAGCCTTTTACACAAAATAAGGAAAACCGGCAAATGTCGGTGTTGGCGGCGCCATTTTGAATGATTTTTTTTTCAACGCTATCGATCAATATAACGTACCGGTGCGAAAACCTGAGCACACAATGGCAAAATACACGCCCAACCGGCAAACACTAAATTCGATAAATTATTTGCTATGGGATAGTACTTACCTTCTTCTGCTGGTAATTCTGTGGACGAGAAAAACAGACAATGTTAGCGTTGGGGTATGTGAATAATCCAAAAAATGTCGGGCCATATTTAGACGGCAGTGAAAAACTGTGCGATGAGCTCATCTTACGGCAAGAATGATAGCAATATGGCAGACGACGAGGGGAGAGCGAGAGCAGCGTACTCTGGGGTCGGTCAAAATGATCAAAATACGACTCAACAGACAGTGACAGTTCGTGCAAACTTACCGTTTGGACCATACTTTGCTTGTGCATCTTTCACTTGACGAGAACTGAGTCCCTGAGTTTCGTTAACATCATAATATTGCAAGCATTCAGCAACCGATTTGGCATGCGCATCCTCCATGGTGTTTTAAAAGTCAACCTCTGGCAAGCCAGAGACCGGCGAATAAAAAAAAAAATATCGGTACGTGGCTATACTCGCCGCAGACGTGTCTGGCAATCCCCTCACACCCGCTATAATCCAATGCCGTACAACACTTTAAGATCTCGTCCCCTATATGGTTCTCACTTTACAGTGTTGCAGTAAATAAGTAGGACAAGGCGGAATGCAAAAATGGTTCTATGCTACCCTGACAGGCAATTTCCCCGTGTGTTAGATTCAGGTGACCTACTGCGCATACCACGCGGTCCAAACTAATGTGGAATATACGGATTGGTTAATCACAATCACGTGGCAACAAGCGCGACAATGGACCTATCAGATTTGACTTTACAACCAGTTGCTGACGTCAATGCGGAGAATTCCTCAATATGCTAAATAGTGCTATTTTTAGATCTCAGATCTTGACCCGCTAGCTTAACAAAGATTAATAAGTGGCGACAAAAGAACAACGCATGATTTCTTTCTCCTCAGAAGTACACGTCACCCAAATCGATTTAGTATAGTTGGAGTTAGTCACACGTGTATGTTTCACTACAAAATGACGAAATCATGAGCTGTGATGTACCTGTTGTTTACGGCAAACTTTTTTTCTCGGTATTTTAACCGAGTGCAGTGGTCGAACTATCCGTTTCTAATGCAAATAAACGAACCGTACTATGTAAACTTTACACCGGTGTTAAAATTGCAATCACATTTTATGAAGCCGCGATGACGTACTCTCGAAGGTTTAAGAACACGCGATCGCTTGTGTGATATTATCATAGCCCGATGGGGTCACTCGTCAGACGTCACTGGGCCAGATCACTAACTGAAGTTTGGTAAGCGTTGTGTACACTATTAATATAATGTTAAACACTGAAAACTGCTTGGCTGTAATTGCAGGTAACATTCACGCCGCGAAAAAGTATCATTTTATTTTGTAAATTGTCAAATAAAATAAAAAAATAAATTACCATTGTTTACTGATCTTTGATCATAATAATATAGTCGTTGCCTTAAAAGGTTAAAACACCACATACTGTTATTTTTTTTTTATTTTTTTTTTTGCGTATTACTAGTACTTTATTTTTTACCAAAAAGATGCGTCCTACCACCACCGCATACAGTGCCCATGCAATGACGATGGAAACGAAAAGGGAACGTTAGTGTCATAGTGGATCTTTAAAAAAAATATTGAGGGCGATATTAAAACGATTGTGCAAAATATTCCAATATACTTTATGTGACCTCCCCTTTCGAGTTTTCTTCTTTTGCTGATTTGTTGATTTTAAATTTGGCTTGCATCACATTCTCTCAATGGAAATGTTTTTATTTTGCTTTTGTTCGGAGTCTATTATTATTCTCGTTGCTTCAAAGGTCAGACACTGTTTTTTCACATATCACTAACGTTGATTTAATAGATTGTCTAAAATGAATGACAATATACAGTTGCTTCTGTGACGTATAGCCAAGGATGGACTGAGATGGAGTGTACTAAAGATAAACCGTTTATCACATTGTCGCCTTGTCCGTCAATATAATAAGTTGTTAGATGTTTTTTTTATATTCTACACATCCAACAATTTTTTTTTATATTTCAACTCCGTAATCATGACTTCACAGAAGAGCTTTGTCGCTGGAGGGAGCAACTTATAAGAACGTTTGTTTGTTTGTTGTTTCGATCTCCTCAGCACCTACGTGCTTCGCAAACAAGTGTTCACTAATATCAACATACTTGAAGATATCGCCTTCATTGTTTTCCGATTTTAGCCCAAACAACGGAACGTTGAATAAAGTATTCTAGACCACAGTCTCTTAAACCGACTCGGGTCATCAATAGAGGTAAAACCTCCACGGGTCACCTGGTAATGATTACGCCGATTAAAATCCACACAAAGAGTAATTTTGTTATCTATACGTAGCTATTTGTTAGCATTATATAGTAACAACGATTTATTAGATAGGGACTTTATTATTATTTATCGTATTCACATCTGTTGTTTGTGTCCCTTTGCATCGACTTAATCTACGGTGGCGTATATACGTAAATTTGTATGTATATTATTATTAATTGACCCGTATATACGTAAATTTGTATGTACATTATTATTACATTTATCACTTGTTAGTATTACTACATTGAAATAGTACACAAAAGCTAGAAATTTATGAACAACTGAAGCACTGCTTATCTACGGCGGCTTCTGACTGGTTATTTGCATGATTTTTGGAGGTTAAAGGGCGGCAGTCATTGCACCGCGTCCTGTTCGATATGGGGCTCATAGCGACGTATACAACGCGTGTGAAAACATTGTTTATTTACATGAAATTCGAACACGCACTGCGCGACGACCACCGAATGATTTCTACTTTTTCTAATTTTCGTTAAGTTTTCATACAACGGAGTGTTATACTTTAAGCAGATATTAGTAAACTCATTTTTTTCAAAATAACAATTTTAAAATGTGCTTTCGCCCAAACCGACAACACTGCGCCGTCACGTTCTACTCAAAGTGTGGTCAAGAACAGTACTAGTATTTTACGTCCATGGTAAAACACCCACTTAAACTGTTTCATTCAGTTTCGCCGCGTCATAACAGATTTTATTTTGTTCAACATAGAAATAGGATATTCATAAACAATTGGGACTGTGGTTTTTACGCGCGACGCTCGTTCTCATCATAATCACGACTTTTGTTAAATATCGTGATAGTAAAAAACACACCAGGCCATAAAAGCAAAAGTATATGAGACATACGTCCCATGAGCTGAAAACAGCCTGGGTATAATAATATTTTACAGTGTATATATACATGGATCTGTAATTTAAAACACAGCCATGGCAATAACGTTCATAGATTCTAACACTGATCCTTGACCTTGACGATAACGACGCGCGTATGTTACAGAATTGATAGAACACGTGACCATGTTTACGAACGGTGTTGCCACGGTATTGCCACAATCCTGACTTGGGGGCTGACCAATGCAATTTCACGGGGGTGGATTTTTAGAAAAACAAATCTCAATCGTGCACAAAGAAAATGTTGAACAATTAAAAAAATCTACAGAAGAACTATATATATGGAGGTTTTAGTTATATATGGAACGAAGCAAACACACCTCCCTGAAAAAATATTTAGTTAAATTTAACTTAATTGCGCAGTTTTGCGCGTTCTCACCTCCTCGAGTTTTTATTAGTCAACGCCAGTGAGACCTGTGGTGGAGGTTTTAGTTTGAAATCCATGCTAGTTATTTTTTAGAGGGATTTTGAAATAGAATTTTGTCAAAAGTTCACATATTTTTTGTTAGAAATGTCAAGCTATACGATCACTCTCGTTCTAGTTAGGATATTGCCCCATATGCCGTAAAAAGGACAGTTTTACGACATAATGTGTTATCAAGATAAAAGGCAGCATTCGAGGACGTGCTTATTTATTAGTTAGTACAGGCTATAGTTTATCAGATACGGATATATCACCTAAAGTGTGAACTAAAAATAGCTGCATACGTGTAGCAACAGGCTTCCGTACCACTGAAGCGGATACGATCAATTTTACGTGAACCGAATAGTTTTAGAAATCCCACTCGGGAATCCCCGGGCGAGCAGGGGACAATTCACATCGTATCACGCGCGTGGTAAAATTTCTTTTTCATACATATGACGGAAATAATGTCAATCCCCCGCCGCGGAGCCACCTCCAGAGGTGTGACGTCATAAATTTCACGCAGGTGTCCTTGAATGAAATCTACCACGGTCCGATCATGCTACCGTGACCGGACGTAGACGATTACGCAATTCAGTGTTTGTCGATTGCTGTTTTGTATAATTATTGAGGACTACGGTTACCAAATATTACTGATTTAACAGTGTGTGTGTGGTTATTCAATGTCACACAAGGCTAATCACGTACACATACATACTCTGTGCACACCACACTGGCAAGTACCGTAGTATTACACTGGAACGGCACATCAAGGCACTCGTTTAAACTTGGGAAAAACATAATGATTCATGTACTTTATTATTTCTTTTCAAGTCTGTTAATAGTATTTCCGATGACTAACCCTTTTAATCCCCATGTTCGAGGACGTTTTACAAGATAGAGCAAGACTTTTTCATCAGTCTGGTGACATCATTTTCACTGCAACGTATTTTAACCATAGTTCATCTACGTTCAAATTTCTTTTAAGATAGAAGCCTACTCGTGAATTCAAATCTCAAGAATTTATTTATTTTCAATAAATTGCACTTCCGGGCATATATAATACGATATTGACTTCAAAAAAAGTTCGGGGTCACTAGCTTTGTTATCGATTATGCCATTATGCCACACCCAAATTGTACTCTGATGACATAGGCTGCAAACATATTTTTTTCATACATGTAGATTGTTGCTTACAACCAACTTATTATCGCGGATTTTAATAAATAAATAAATAAATAAATAAACAAATAAACAAACAAACAAACAAACAAACAAACAAACAAATAAATAAATAAATAAATAAACAAACAAACAAACAAATAAACAAATAAATAAATAAATAAATAAATAAATAAATAAATAAATAAATAAATAAATAAATAAATAAATAAATAAATAAATAAAACATTAATTCTATTCTACACATGTAGTTCTACACATGTAAACATTTCCGTTGTATTTTGGATGTCAACGCACAATATGTGACAATCATGGAATGATAATATACGGGTTTGGTTTAGAGTGAAGGGGTACTTTTATTACTTTTTCCAATTATCTACGTAATATCGGATACCATGAATGTATCACATTGAATAAAGAATGTTGACAGTGGTATGGTATACGTACACCTTTTACGTATCTCCTGACAATTCCCGACCCTTACTACCTTCAAGTTCACAAATAGAACAGGGGTCAAATCAGAACACAACCAAGAAATGATGGGAGATGTTTGTAAAAAGTGGACAGATCGAAGCTCATGATAAAAATAGCTGTACGTTCTGGTAGCCCATCCGTACACGTTGCAAAGTCATGACACCATGACTATGGGTACTCCATCGTTGTCGTATTTGTTTGAAAGGGGGTGTAAAGAAATTTGTGTGTGTTACTTTTTTTTTAACATTAAGCAACATTTGTTTTATTTGAAACTGTCTGTTTGTACTTTCAATCGATTTTCAGGATAAATAATTCGTCTCACATATTTGTATTTTCACCGTGACTGTACTTTGAACTGTTGCGAATCCAGGTATGACTTCAACAGATGACGCGGATTTCAAGGTGAATCACGTGACAATGACGGTGCAATTAAAAGGCGAGAATGATAGCGTGGCAACAGACAATTTGTGGGTTCCCGGTTTGATTACGTCACCAACAACTTGCAATTTGTGTGAGGCTTGTCCCATGACGACTAACAGATAGATAGATAGATAGATAGATAGATAGATAGATAGATAAATTCATGTACTGACTGACTGACTTTCGGAACTTTTGGAAAGAATGATGTTTGTTTTTTTTCGATAGCCGAAATGTCGGCGATATCGGGGTTGAATTTATTAATTATGCTTGTCATCGCTTTATGCCCACGTTACGAACAGGTACCACGCGTGTAACGTGCCGAGGTGGCTGCCCTCACCTGGTGATATGTGGGCGCCCTCGCTTGGTGAAATGTGGGCGCCCTCCACTTCTGATATGTGATCACAAGTAAACTTTCACGAAAAAGAAAATTTTAGTAATATAGGAAAACTAGACTATTCCAGTTTTCCAGTTACTTTATAATGCATGTATATAAAAAACAAGTTTCCACAACAGGCATGTTGGCAGCCCCTAGCTTCTGTAAAAGTTCCCACTGACCAACAGGATGTTGGGCGAGCCCAAATTATGTGAAACTTTCCATCAAAGGTATGCTGGTTGACCCCGACTTCTGTGAAAGTCAATTTCCCACAAAGATGATATTGGCTGACCCCAAGTTATTTAAAGTTTCCAACATATGGATGTTAGTCGACCTGAATCTCTGTGAAAGTTACCACCTAAAGGTCTACCCCAAATTATTTTGCGAATGTCACCCACCTCCACCCACGTTCCAATGCCCACGAACGACTTTAAATGACTTCAAACGTTCTTAATATCTATATCACACAAATGTAAATAAAACATTATGTGTTAAAACGGGGGAGT